ATAATCTAATTAAGAGCATCCTCAGCAAGCAGGTTTCACAGGATCCTACATATTCCTTTTTCAGGTCTGATCATCCGGGGAAGCCCACAGTCCTCAGTGTGGATTGTACCACCCCTTGTTATTGTCACAGGCTTGAGTTTGGCAGAGGAGACAAAGGCAACCAGGAGATTTGGATGTCTTGCAGGCAGAATGAGGACTCAGGCTTTGACAATGCCGAGGGGCAGGGGTCGATCACCCCCTCTTTTCCACAGCTCCCTGAGTCTTTCCCTGAGGGCCTTCTCACGTGATCGTGACTGGCTTAGATCCATCCTCCTCTGAGGAATGTTACCCATCATTGGCTAACTGACCAAGCAATGGGGGCCAGGCAAGGAGCAGGCAGCACTCCTGCCAGGGAGATAAGCTTGTCTCCTTAGTGGCTTCTGGTCTGGAGATCTCTCACTTAGCCTTAGCCATGGGGGGTTACAGCTCCTGAAACCAGGCAGGGTGGTTCCCAACACTCTTTGTACCTGCTTTTTTTATCAAAAGTGGAAAAATAGAATTCAAACCTCATAGGACACTTTATTTTTCTCACACCTGGACCACTTTTATTTGGCAACTAAGGTATTTGTGTTTGTGATCCCTAATCTAGTCCAAACCTCATCTTTCACAAATATGAAAACTAAGGAACCCAGGGAGTTTCATTGACTGTCTGAAGTTCAAAGTCTTGTTAGTGGCAGAAGCTGGGGCCACATGCAAGTCTTTTTTTCCCCTTGTTAGTGTTTCCATTTGCCGCCCCCCGCCCCACACTTTTTTCTTTCCAAATGGATTTGCTAACATAGGTTCACTTCCTATCTGTCCCCAAGAGAAGAGCAGAGATTAGAGGAAGTGTACCAGCTACAACAAAGAAGCACAGAGGGTAGCTGCAGACACAAAAGGACTGGAAGGGGTAACCCACCATTAGTGTTAATATCACTGGTACCTTAGGCTGCTGTGTTTAAATATTGTCATAGATGAAGCTGAAGGAATGATGCTCCTCTCCCACCAACTGCTCCAATTCATTTGTGTTTAATTGCCCCATTTCATGTATAATTATGAATTCTTTTCCTATTGTTTCCTAACTTACTTGACTAAACAAAATGGTGATCTGGGTGATAAGAATATGTAATACAGCACATAAGAAATCCCCAAACACCTAGAGAGAATAAACTGGAGAAATAAAAAAGAAGCAAAAGGGAAACTGAAGCTGTTTCTACAGCTTATTCAGGCTCCTCTATAGACAATCTTTTGAAGTCTTTTATTTCCCCCTAATGAAATGAGATTGTTCTCAGTGCTAGGTATGAATGGATCATTAAAAAAATAAGTGTGAAGCAGAAGGCAGAGTCTCCAGGGAGAACAGTGCAGTAGGTTTGGTGGCATCGTCCTTTATGCTCCCAGAACACTGTGCAAGCTGCTACTTGGACTCCTGTCACATTGTTGCATATATTTGATTACTTGCCTCCCCCCACCCCCACCCACTGTCTAGCATCCTATAGATTGAGCTTCCCAGGAGAAAGCAACAACAGCCAAAGAATTCTAGAATCTGGAAGAGGCAAGGAAATGATTCTGCCCCGAAGCCTACAGAAAGAATGCCAGCACCATGATTTTAGACTTTTGACATCCAGAATTATTACGAGAGAGTAACTTGGTGTGGTTTTAAGTCACTAAGTTTGCTGCAGCACCAATATGAAACCACTACATTTAGTGTAAAAATAAATAAACAAACAAATAAATAAATAAATGTCATTTGAATGAGTAAATAAGCAAATAAATGAATCAATGAATGTAGAGAATTTTAGATCGAAAGTGGAAAGGCTTATGTTTAGGGCCCAACTTAGGTAACAATCAGTGGGCCCCACCATTTAGCCTCACCAGAATTGTTCAGCATAAAGAGCTGAGTCCATAGAGTCAGACAGACAAAGACTGGAATCCCTCCTAGGTTCCTTCCAGGCCATGTGTCCTTGGGCAGGTATGCAGCTCTCTGAGCCCACATCCACAGGTGTGAGATAGGGACAGTACCTCCTTTTTAAAGGCATTGTGGGACTGCCATCTGGTTGCATTCAACGGGACTCTGAACTAGGTAAATTTGAAATTGTCACGTAAAAATGTTACTAATGTCATTTCATGAAAAAACCTTGAAATCATATAAATTCTCAAAACTATAAAACTACAGAACAACCAAGCTGATAAACTGACTGCCCCATGGTGGGTCCGCTTCAGCTGCTGAACAGAAACACACATCGTCCTTTGAGAGGGCCCATTTTGAATTACACAAGTTATACATTATACCAGTATAAGTTATGAGAGGTTTTTAGGAACACATCCCTTAACAAAATAGGACTATCCTTAATGCATGCAAAGCAATTAGCACAGGCCTGGGACACAGAAAGCTATCACTCTGCTGGTATTGTATTAGCTCAAAAATGACAGCCTCAGAGCAGACACTGCCACAGTGGAAAATGAAAGCAACTCCATCTTTCCCGTGGGCTGAAGTGTTGCAGGGGCCTCTGGTTGCTTTTAGAGTAAAACTTGCTGCTGGAAAATCTGAGTCAGGTGTGCTAGTAACAGCCCACATTATGAAGCAATAAATCTCCCAGCTCTTATCTGTACCACAAAATTTGACTTCAGGAAGGTATTAACTACATGCTCCACCAGTATCACCACGTACATCTTGTGCACACCTATTTTGTGGCTATTGGCCATATTCAGAATACCAGAATTTGTGACATGACAGGGACCCCTTGGGCCTTAGTGCCGCCCAGCAAGATTTCTCTTTCCCTTCTCTCCATTCTCATTTCTTGAGTCCCCAGAGAACAAGGTTGTACCTAGTATATACTTCAAGCTCAGATATTTACTGTATCTTTCAGTATATACTCAGGTATATACTAAATAACTTGAATGTATAAATAACCTTATGAGTCATGGAACCTATGTCCTTCTCCCACTGTCTACATAATGAGCTGAGGCCAATTAGCGCAATGACTGAAAAAACCCTCCCATGTAGTATTAATTCAAATGATTTACTGCCTTCTCCCTAGAGGGAAGCACTGAGTTCCCAGATCTAATAGACTAAGTTACAGAGAGGAAATAGTTTTAAAACACATTTTTTAAAGTGCATCTGTTTTTCTAAGTAGCTTCCAGTTTCATAAGTTAAATTCTGATAATGATGTTAAATGTCTACACCACTGATTTGGCTAGTAAGTGATGGAGCAATTAGAAAAGAATGATCAAAAGAAAAAAAGCACCTGGATGAGCAGCAAGGAGGGTTTGGAAAAAGCACCAAGTGATGCCGAGTTCTTCAGTTCTGACTCAGGCCTGCTGTGACTGGTGAGGGGGAGCACACGACCAATGTTTCAGGGTCATAGGACCACATGGAACCATTTACTGTAGAATCAAGCTTCCTCCCCTCCCTTTATTTATTCAAACCTCAATTTTCTACCAAAACCGATATAAGACCTAGGGGAGACTCAGGGCTAGCAGGACTTAAGATAGGATCCTTCAGATAGGATAAGATAGGATCCTCAAGATAAGATCCTCAAGATAGGATCCTCAAGATAGGATAAGACTTAGATAGGATCCTTATCCTATCTCTAGTGACACACATCAGGAAAAGCACAAGTGCATTCCCTGAGTAAAAACCACCTTACCTTCTCAAGAAAAAAATGGATTTTAGTGATTCTTTAAAATTGTCTTCAGGGCACTAACCTGAATCGCCTCTGAGGCAGCTTAATTTACACCCTTGCATTGTACTCATTGGAGATGGAGAACAGCTGTCCCACTGTCCCAAAGTAGCCCTGTATATGTTTGAAAGGCCAACTTCTTAGGACATAGATTCCTTAAAGCTAACTCGGCCTAGATTCCTTAACTTTGTATGATACTGTGATCAGAGTCTTCCCAATTTTTCTCATAACAAATAAAGTGCAGAGCTCTGAACCCATGAGTTCAGGGAAGCTAGTGTCAAATTACCTTTACCATCTGGGTTCCTACACTTGCCTCCCAAACCCTCTTCCTTTCTAGCCAGCTAGAAAGCTAAACACCTCAAATTTTGGCCCATTTCCTTGCCTTCCTTAGCTTTTTTTTTTAAGTTCTCTACGTATAGATGTGCAATGGATGTTGGGTATCTATTTGTGATGTGAAGTGATTTTCAACAAAAGTTCTCTGTTTATCAATAAAGAGATCCAGTGCTCTTTCTGCTGTACTTCTCTTCCCACCTGCCAGAGCCTTCTCATCTGTTTGGTTAACTTGGGTTATACTCAGATTAGATGTCCTGTTTTCAAGCCTGGCCCCTTTGCTAGTGTTAAAGACCCATGGGATAAGGGCAATTGGAAGATGACAATTTGTCACTTCATCGAAATTTACCCTTCTTAGACCTCTTTAGATTCCACATGGCAAGGTGCAAGGCCACACCCATGAGACCCACACACAAGCATGACCTTGTCCAGCTCTCCTGTGCACCTTCAGTGTCACAGTCAAACTTCTTCTCTCACCAGGCTATCATTTGGTCATCTTGAGCTTCTTATTCTCCATGAGCCCACTCTGCAAATGCATCCTGCTAATCCTTTAGCTAGGCTTCCCCTCTGCCTCCAATGTCCTTCCTCTTGTTCTCTATTCCTCAGGCCCACTTTAAATGTCATCCCTCTGGGAAGTAGTCCTTAACTCCCCAGAAAGGATGAGTCATTCTCTGTCCTGTGTTCCCAGGGAATGCTGTAGCTACCTCTCTTACAGCCCTGAACACTGTAAACTTATTTTTTTACATTTTCCTACAACCAACTCTACCATCGGTTTCACAGTAGGAGTTCAACAAACATTATTGGGTTACATAAATGTGTACATGATTTCTCAAACAGAGGTAACTGTATGGCTCCCAGCACTGGGGTCTGGCCTATACTTGTTTATTTATGTCTGAGTTAGGGAGGACAGAGCTAGAGAATAATGAGAAAAACAAGCTGATCAGTGGCCAAACAACAGTAAAAAACATGGTGTACCTGATAGACCATAACAGTTTCTTCTTTTTTCTGCTCTGGAGTTCCTTGAGTCTGCAATAGATTTCGTACTGTTTCTTCCATCCTGAAAAACAAAAATAAAGAAAGAAAATAAAGAAATTCTTCAAAGAATTTTTGCTATTAATGTGAGTCTGTTTCCTAAACTTAAACCTGAAAAATCTCCTTTCTCTTCTATTGTGTTCATGCTCTATATCGGGAATCTTTAAAATCATTCTTCAGAATGTCCCTAGGTTCTCTCTCTTTACCATTCAGGTCCCTACCTCTGGCCGCCTGTTACCAGTACTTATGCAAACATCTCCCAATACCCTCTTAATTTTTAATTGCTCCCTTTTAATTTAATACAATGTTATCACATTAATAAACCTGAAGTACCACTTTGATTTTTTAAACTCAATTTTCAAAGTTGAAAAATATTACATAAATGTATTTTCACCATTAATATACTATTCCATGGTGGTCTACATCAGCACTCAAAGGTCTACTTTTTTCTTTTCAACAACTTCCTGGTATTTCATGATGTGACTGTGCCATAAATTTTTAAACCATTCCCCTACTGACAGAATTTAAATACTTCAAAATGTTTGCTCTTCTGAGCAATACATACTTTTACACATACACATTAGTGCACATTTGTGAGTATTTTGATAGTCATATTATGACAGATAATGTATATTATAATCCTATTTTGTTTTAAATATGTACCACCAATGCCCACCCCCATTCCTGCATTGCCCAAAAGTAAAGAGTGAAACAGACACACCTATTTCCATTTCCAGAAATTGTATCATGCTATTACCACTGCTTAGAATGCCAACACCCTTTCATATTCTCAAATCCCATCCATCTTTCAAAATCCATCTCAGATTTTACTTCCTAAAAAACTTCTTCAGTGGTCCTCCCAGTCTTTGAATTCTTACAGCCTTATCAGGGGTGTCCAACCTGCACTCAGCATGGCTATGAATGCAGCCCAACACAAAATTGTAAATTTACTTAAAACATTATGAAATTTTTTTCTGTGATTATGTATCACAATGTATTTAATGTGGGGCCCAAGACAACTCTTCTTGCAGTGTGGCCCAGAGACATCAAAAGGTTGGGGACCCATTTAGTTCGCAGGCCAGCACTCAGTCCACTGAGCCACACCAGCCAGGGGGGACCCATTTAAATCACTCATTCTCTCACTTAAAAATTCCCCACTTTAAATGCTCAGATATTTCATATATGCTTGTCTTGTCTTATGAAGTAAATTAAGGTATTTGGTATAGAACCATGTCATATTTTCTTGCATGTCTCCCTAATGATTTATGAAGCTGTATTTGGTACCCATTACTAAATATGAATATTTTGTTAATTTATTTAAAAAAATATTAAGTACTGACTCTTTGTCAGGCATTGACTATATGTACTCAAACTGTGTTTGCAAACTGTTTGAATGACCTTGTCCTTAACCTTACCCATGAGGTTTCAGGGACCAGAACTCTGAGAGCAGAACACTTGCACTACTGCACTGAACACAGTGTTCTTTTGCCTAGAATCTGAGTTGGTTGTCTCTTCCAGTCCCATCCCGAAGCATGTGTTTTGGTGACTCAGCATGATACTAGTTTAAGGCAGAAAGCAAGCTGATTCAGCTTCTCTCTTTTGCTCAGGGCTTCTAAGATGACAAATTAAGGGTTCTGGGAGGCCCATGAATTCCCTGAAGTGGTAAGACCATTATTATAACAAAGGTAGTACAGTTCAAAATGCCAACTTTTCTAATATATCATACAACTACTTAGCAACAGAGAGAGGAAACTGCAGCTGAACTAGTCCACTCCAAACCAGGACTATAATTGGGGATATTCTGCCTTCAAAGAAGATAGCACAGACCCATTCAGGATTTCAATAACATGGTGGACTCCATTTAAGAGTGTTCAGAGAATGCTGTGTGACCACATATTTGTACAATCTAGTTTTTCATGTGTCTAGCCAAGAAAGCAAAATCTGTTTCTTATATTTTCACAAATCTTATGTTATTAATAATAGTAACTCAAAATTAAATTGTACTTTTAACTTGTCTAAGAATTCTCTCATCTAGCCCTGGCTGGTATGGCTCAGTAGATTGAGTGCGAGCCTGCAAACCAAAAGATCATGTTCTATTCCCAGTCAGGGCACCTGCCTAGACTGCAGGCCAGGTACCCAGTAGGGGGCACACAAGCGGCAACCACACAACGATGTTTGTCTCCTTCTCCTTCCCTTCCCCTCTCTTTAAAAATAAACAAATAAAATCTTTTTTTAAAAAAGAATTCTCTCATCTATTCATCATTATGATGTTCTTTAAAAATATATCTGTGGTAGATGAGAAAGCTGAGAAAATAGAAAGGTTAAATGACTTACAGGATTATAGTTTAGTTGAATAGGAGTTAGAATTAAACTATTTTTGCTGACTGTAAAAACAATAGTAGTCACTTTCCACAAGGCCTTATTTACAAGCAGGGAAATGATTTTAAATGAAGAAGAGTTTTAACTACTAATTAGAAGTTATCTTGATGAACAGTTATTGGATGCTGAGCCCAACAAGGCAACAATATTGTTTCTGACCTGAGGAGAGCTTAATATCTGGTGGAAGAGACAAACTAAGGTTTTTGGGGAAAATGGGTGTGATAAAGTCACAAATTCTGAACTCAAGACTGATCAGAGCCAATTTCTAATACTCTGTGTCATTGTATATAGGCAGAAACAATCTTTTTCTTGAGTGATAGTGAATTTTCCTCGATGTATGTACACCTATCATAAACAAATAAACAAAAAGGTGATGACTTGCCCAATTTCACTCAGCTCATGTACACACATCTGGGACTAACCTCTGGTTTTCTAAATATTAGTCTACTTTCTTCCCACACTAGCACAGAGGCAAGAGTACTTTCTTATTTCAATCTTTGTTTCATTCATTTATAGACATTTGGCATAACAGTGGCCCATAGTTAGAACTCCATTAAAATTAAAATCTTGCCTTTAAAAAAATCAGTTAAAATATAGTTCTGTGACCACGCATATCTTGCTGAATTATCTCTTCTGTATAATTAAAAGTTCTATGCACAAGTTGCTGGATCAAAAAGAAAAAAAAACTCTATTCACCTTTCTCCAATTTTTCTTTTTTTTTATTTTAGAAAAAGAAAAAAGTGGGGGTGAAAAGAAAATTGTTGAAACAGAATTTCAAACAGCCCATACTCACATTATTTTACTGTGATTAATTAAATTAATTATAATTAAAACCAATTACATTTCCAAGCTGCAGCTTGGAACAGAGCTACACGGATTGATCCCAACACTTGGTAGAAAATTAAGTTGTCTCATATTTTCATAACCTCTATGAATCTGGTCACAGATAAAATACTTCAAACCTGATGAAACTATGCCATTTTTTGTTCCCTGATGACAGCTTTTTAAAACAAAATCCTCATTTGACAAACTTCTCTATTTATTTTGCAGAAAACCAAAGACTGTGAAGCATCATCCATATCCATTGTCATCTGACTGCCCCATAACATTTTCCTTCGTTTCATTATTTTGATAGCTGCAGTATATCGTTTGCATTACCAATGTGTACACAGAATAACTCTATCATCTGTTTCCCCAATGTGACTAAAAATCAGTCAATTCCTTACTCCAGGTGATGCGTGGACAGTGGAGTTTTTTGGTTTCTTTTACGTTGCTGATTAGTGCCATTTATCATTGAATATTCACCTTATATAATGTCTTCCTGCTCTTTTTTTCCCTATTGTCCAACTTGAGTCTACGTCTTTTCTTCCCATAAACACTGAAAAAGTAGCTGTTATAACTAAAAATTTATAGGCCAAAATTATACTTAGTGAAATATAATTTCTAATACATATTAAATAGGCTATTTTTAGAAAGTTAAGACCTACACAAGTCAGAAAAAATAAACCAAATTCATATGCAAGCAGTATATTTTAGGCAACATAAGGTATAAATATAGTTATTTTATTTTATTAAAAATAAATTCCATGTGTTAAGGTATATATCATTTAATTAATAAATTCTTATTATAGTATTTCATTTGGGTTGAGCAAAACAAAACCCAAACAAATACAGTTTTTGCTTAAAAAGTACACTAACTTGAAGTTAGGAAAATTGAACATTAAATTAAAAAAATCAAAACCATTCAAGAGCAGGATTAGTGAGCCTTTGCACCAAAATTCTCTCTATGGGGTCCACCATTGGCATGCACCCCCTTTTGAAGTACAGATCACTGGGGTACTTGTCACTGAAACAGTATCCAGTGTCTCACAGAGATGATCTCCTAGTCATCAAAGGAAGATCTTTCTGGAAGAAAATGTTAAAAGATAATGGTTTCCAGAATCCTCTCAGGGTAGAAAACCACCTAATCATTCAGGGCCTGATGTTGCCAGATTGATCTTTCTGTTTTCTTTCTTCTTTTCTTTTCTTTTCTTTTCTTTTCTTTTCTTTTCTTTCTTTCTTTCTTTCTTCTTTCTTTCAAAGAACTTCAGTTAATGATATACATGCTTAAGTATATACACAATTTGGGAATACAATTTGGGAACTATATTAATGCTCGCAACTTTGAAGCACATCAAAAATTAAATTTATAGATGGTGAGAGAGATGCCTAGATGCTTAGACAGGTAGTAAAGAAAGTATAGTAAATATGAGCAGTAGAATCCAGTTGTTGGGCATATGGTGTTCACTGTAAAATTTGTTCAACTTTAAATATTTTATAACAAATTACTGACCCAGTTTTTTTTCAAATAGACCAAATATTTATCTCTTGGATAAAAATGTTAAACCTCTCAGTAGAAAAGTAGTAGACTGCTTCTCATCAGTTGTGTGCAGATCTGGTTGGGTGTATCTTTGTAGAGTAGGGGAGCTTGGGTATGGTGTCATTTTATATTTGGACAGAAGTCCTTTCCCAAGGTTTGTTGCTAGCCTTTATTGTTCTATGTCTGAAGGTCTTGAGGCTGTTCCCAGTCTTAGTTCTGCTTGGTCAAAACTTACTGGAACATCTAGCACTCTGGCTGATGCTGGCTTCAGTGCCCTGAATCTTGGG